TGAAAGAACCAAATCCTATCATCCATGTACAATGCCATTTGATTGCTGCAGCCAGTATCTTGCTTATATCACTTGGTACTAAAAGAATAGCTGAAGCAAAACTGCTGATTGTTTAAATTCAGTGGGAGTTTTTCCTGAGTCCAGCCTGTAGGTCTTTTCGAAAGCTGAGCATAAAAGGCTTCCTTACCAAAAACCCTTCAAGTGCTGCAGTCTAATGTAAATAACCTGTTAATTAAATCTTTCTCATTTGCATTTCTGAGAAGACAGCCTTATTATTTATACAAATGACGGTCATAGTCAATCTTTCTTGCTGGCTGGCGTCACGTTTTCTGACCATGATCTTACCTTGATTTCAGCTTGTTGCTGTGGGTACTTAGTAACTTTAATCCTAAAGCAGTCTTGTGCCATATGTAAGGTCAAGTATCAAAAGGGGTCTTTCAGGGTCTGAGCTGGGAGACGTGGTTCGCTAATCTGAATAGCAAAAAAAAAATCTCTCTTTAAGCCAAGACAAAGCCTTGAGGCTTAAGCACGTCCCTTCTGGAGCCTGGTAAGATGCTGTTTATGACTGTGACTCAGAATACCTCACTTATTTATGTGTGGTTTGAACTTAATCATATGACGTGCAAAATAGCCATGCAGACAATGTATATGTTATCACATTCAAATAGGACATACGTGTAGATGGACAAGAGCTGGTATCTGGAAATTTTAGTTTGAAATATGGAAATGACAGTTAAATTTTGAAGTCTTTTCCAAGCCCTAACTCACTGTCTCAAATTATAGTGCTTTACAGGCAAGTTGTCTTCCTTTTGCTGTGAAATTTGGCTTAGAAGGGAAAGCATTTTTCTAATGTCTACAGATGACATGGAAGCTGCAGTCCCTAGGTTTTAATCTTGTGAATGACTGATTTTGTAAAGTCGGGGGTCCACACTTGAGCTATCCTGTTCTGCAGCAGGCATTTTCCCTATTTTAAAGCCATCGGGAGCCAAACTGTCTGCAGATAGATGTAGCCTTGGACATTTCTTTCACCTGTACAGCTGCCTAGCATGCTTTCAGCGTGGCAGAGTGTGTCCTTGACTGTAGCTGAGTCCTCTTTAGTGTGTTGAAGTAATTCTTACAGGTGCCCTAGAGAGTGTTCTGCTGTGGTGAGGACTTTGTGGTTCTAGCTTTCCTTCAACTTTTTATCAGGTTGTCAGCTACAACTTGAGCAGGAAAGGACAGTGGGAAAGAGCATCCTGGAGGCCGTTCACCCACAGCCACTACAGCCCTCTCAACGTCACGGTTAATGGCATCCCTTGCATTCTTTTCTGGGCCAAGAGGATCATGATTAAGTTTGAAAACCACACGCAACTGGATTTGACGGAGAAGACATTTGGTGTCCATGCAACAGTGGATGTTGGAGATTCGAACTGCAGTGAAGACAATGCAATGTAAGGTGGCATTCTACTCTGCCAGAGGAACTAGTACTAGGTACCAAGTCTAGTATATACATACTGAAGGAAAACAGGCCTTGTACTACATGGTGTAGAGCCCTAGGGGCCAGCTCTTTCCTATAATGTTCTCATTATGTATAACGTTACCTATAATGTTCAGATGCTGCATGGTTTCACTATGTTTTGTCTCTAACTTAGACTGAAAATGTTATGTCAACACTGAGAATCTATCATGCAGGTTTTAAGAGGCAAAATATTATTGTTAAGCCAAAAAAGATGTATGCCACTCAATCATGCAGTGCTACAATTCATTAATTCCAGAGATGGTTGAAGGATAGTAGAGTATGCATTAGTTTACAATTAACCTGCTAGGGCCTTTCACTTTAGTAAACTTCAGGTGCCCATGCTCCCTGCAGATAAGCTTTGTAGAGCTACCTCACAGTCGTCTTGATGTTGCTGTAATGATGCACATGTGTGGAATTTGAACTCAAATGTTGTATGCATTTGTTATGCCCTACTGTCTAAAAAGATGAGAATCATGTGGCTGTTTACACTTTCTAATGACACACAGAAGTGATTCATGACTAAGATATCATGGCTTGAGAAGGAGAGCACTGATCAAATTAACTTAATTGTCAACTGATGTTGGAAGGAGTGGGGTTGAAGTGTGTTGAAAGTTGAGCATGCAGTTCTGTTCTTTATGGATAGTCTAGGCCTCGTTCAAATTAACAACTGTACTACTGGATTTCACTACAGGAAGATTTAATCCTTTAAGGCTTTTTTCTACTGACTTCAAAGGTATACTGAGCAAAAGTCTCCACTGTGCTTAATCTTTTGTGCTGCTTTTTTCTCTTAAGATTTCTGAAGTTTTTATCTAGCTTGATGTTACTTGCTCTTTGACCTAGGCTTTCTCTGAAGTTTGGTGACATTGGCAATCTAAAGGGACTCATTATTAGGTAAGTTTGTATGATAAAGAAAATATTAGGTGTTTAAAGAACAGATAAAGATGGTAAAGAAAATATTACATGTTAATACCTATTGTTATGCAGTTGCTTGTGCAATTTGTTTTGGGAGAATTTATGTAAACAAAAATAATGTGATAGAACTGTTGATTGTATAATCAAGACACCTGCATTTACTAGGTCTGGCATTTTACAAACAAGGTCTGCCTTGTTTCATTAAGATGTTTCTTCCTCTATGTTGACTCTTCTATCAATGAGAAAAGTTCGATTCATCTCTTTTGAATAGAATCTTCCCATGTCTGAGATTTTTGCTAAACCTTGCTAATTAGCTACATTTCTGTCTGGGAATTTTGCCGCAAGAACTGGTAGTGCAGGCTGTTCAGGCATCAGACTGTGACCTACTTTATGTTTGCTTCTTGGCAATCACAGAAAACGACGTTTCTTGATAAATAGTTTTCCATATCTTGGATGGATGTACAATACCAATGTTGCACATAGATTTTTTTTGCAGTGATTTGGGAAAAATCCTTCACATTTCGTCTCACTGTGTGGGAGAGCAGCAAACTCCTTCAGCTGCAACAATGAAGAAACTCAAATCTCTCTCCACACTCAGTACAAAGAGCTACAGCTCACACTGATATAAATGGGTGAAACTCTGGTATTAGCAGCGTATCAGAAAAGATCGTTCAACGTGTGAATTTAATAATTGCAACTCTGAGTTAGACTTGTTTTCTTACTCATCTTTCCTCCCATACAATATTTTCAGATTCTTATTAACAAGCAGCTATTACCAGCTGTCTGTTCAGAACTGGTTCAGTTTACACAGACTGCAACTTCTTTACAACCACTCCATACAAGCGACGTTTAATGCAACCAGAATATACGCACCGGCAAGTTACTCCTACCACTGTGAACATGTGAGCAGCTTGCAGAGATATGATGCGCTCCTCATACCCAGCTCTGCAAATGATCTTTCTAAGCTGTGGGAAGTCACTTTTACTGATTTCCAGGTAATGTCATGGAATTAAGCTAAATGTATCCCATAGGTAGACTGATGGGAAGTTTTGCACTTCGCTGCCAAGACACTACCATGACCTTCCATATACAGTTTACGGGATCTCTGTGGAACTTGACATAGAAACTGGATGGAAATAAAGACTTAAATTATTATACTTATCTTCCTGTCTAAGGAAATTAAGGGCTAAATACATTTTCTGTAGTCTCTTGCCTGGGTTTCCCTTAAGTGTGGGGAGTGAATTTAACTTTCAGTGTTACATTTCTCTGAGCTGGGCTCTCAAACTGGCATCAATGACAGCATCAGTCACCAGATATGGGATTCATCTCCCTTAACTTTTGATGCCTAGTAATTTTAACCTTGTGCCCTGATTATAGTCACCCAAGGCTGCCTCTAAAGCCAGTGGATAATTCCTCTGACTCGTCTTAAATCCTTATTTTAAGATGAGATTAATAATCTTCTGAAAGTACCTATTTTTCTGCATTTGACAATAAGGAAGTCTAAGATGACTGGGCTGGGACGTCTTGCTTTTAGATACCTAAGTCACAGGGGATGAAGAGTTGAAAATGGGGATTGGGGGGAAAGCTGATTCCCCCTTTTCCACCATATAATAAATGCCCATGGATTTATCTAGTGAAGCAGTCAGTTCCCTGGATGCCATTGTGGTAAACTTCTTGTTAGAACTGAAGCCACAAGTGAAACTTACTGATATTGGCCATAGTTGAAAGCAACTTCAAGTAGTTTAGCTGATTTGCTGCCATATACTGCACATTTGGATCTGGTGATAAAAATCTAATATTAGGATAGGCAACTGAGAATGTTTCCTTGCTTGTTGTGTTAAAGTTTATGCAGTTTGAAACAGAGACTCTGGAGATTCTCAAATTATGCTGGAAGTGTGCCATTAACTTGAAAGGTACCATGCTTACAATTAAATATGACTGGGCTATCAAGATTCATCATAGAAGGTTTTGTTTAAAACACAACTACAAATCCTTTGGGCAGCAGAGTGAAGGAGATTAGAATAACTGGCAGTTTCTAGAAGACTGACCTGGATAAACTCTGAGCGTTAACTTCAGCTAGCCCTGATAGATTTCAGTTTTGCAATAAGCAGATATTAAATTAAAAATTCCTACTGTCATCAGGAGCAAGTTCATGAAGTTTTTTGTAACCAAGACAGCAAATACTTTATTTAATATGAGCCCTTTTATTCTCTTTGTAGATTCAAGGTTTTAACATTCAAGAAGGACATTTTGCCTATGCAAAAGACTGTGCATCGTTTTTCTCTCCAGCAATACTTATGGGATTGGTTATGTCGCTGATTCTGCTGCTGGTTCTTGCCTATGCTCTTCACATGTTGATCCACCTGAAATCTCTTGACAGGCACTATGAGTGCAAAGCTTCTCCTGCCTATTTTGCACAGATGAAAGACAATGACATGGGGGATGAGAAAGAGCCTCTGAGAAGCAGTGGAAATGAGTCCTATGAACTTAGAAACCAACAGTTCTGTAAAATCTATATTTAGCGGTATGCGTCTGTCTAGTGGAACAAGTGATATTTTCTTCCTCTGGCACTGTCGTATGTAGTTTGTGCAGATTTTTCAGGAACTGATGAGAGGAAAAGTAGGTAACAGACTGTTTAGCCAGTTACTGTCTGTTATTTGTTGATAACCATCTCAAAGATGCCTTGGGAAACAACATGAGAGAAAAAATCCCTTTTGAGTAAGAGATTTCATGTGATGGGAGTTTATTCCTGTGGTACAAAACCAAAATGCGTATCTTTTCAGCCAGCTTACCAAGTTCTGAAGACACAACCAGTAATGGAGCCTTTAAAATGAAATAAAGATACAAAACCTGTAAAAAACTCACAACCTCTTTGCTTATTCTTTCACAGGGCAAGATTTTTCCTGGTTTTGTATTTGCTTCATGCACTCCTCTCTGTGTCTTGTCAAAATAGCATCCATTCCTTTCTCAGTATATGTTTTCCTTTTGTTTTCCAAATTACATCTTCTCTTTGGCCTCATAAACTGCTTTTCTTCCTTTGGAATCTTCAGAGCCATACAAGCTGTGTACTCTCCAATACGCTGATGAAATGGTGATGGCTCCGGTACAGCAGCATCTTGATACTTTTCTCTGTCTAAGCTGGAGGCTTACTGTAAGGATCTAGTGGGAGAACAGTAGACATCTGGTCAAAGGCTTACCCTTAACTTCCCTGCTCAACTCCATGCCAAAAGACGGATTATGAGCATTATACTCTGTAATTCTAGGTTAATTTCTTTTCTATCAAATCCCATCAGTCTCCTTTGGGAATTTTACCTGAATGGAGAGAGCCAGTGCTATAACTGAAAATATATATAAACAAAGTGGTGGAAGCTCCCCAGCGGTGAAAAGGATACTGTGATGTAATTGTCACTTCTCCTTCTAAGCATTTAAGATACTGTCTTCCCACTCATCCTTTCTTCTGTTAGAGTCATAGTTTGGGAACTCCAGGTTAGCCTGTAATTTGGCCCTGTTTTCTAGCAAAGAAGAACGCAGTAATGTACTAACTGTAGCATTTTTTTAAGTCTTGAGTAATACAAAACCCAGCACGTTAGAAAATCTTTCGCAAAATCAGATTTTGTAAATGAATGCCTTTTTATTCTAGATAATAGATCTAATTAGTTTTTTATGGTCTTCATAACAACTACACTGCAGTGCTCTTTGAACACCTTGAGATGTCTAAAGATCTCCTGTTTATTAGCACAGATGACACACAGACTAGATGTGTAGTCCAAAGCAGTTAGTTGATCTAGGAAGGCACTTCAGAGGGAAAAAAAACCCCGTCTTTGAACCATACCCAGACATAAGAGACAAGCTTCAGGAGACTTGGCAAGGCTGCCTGTGGCCATTTGCTGCCAAGCTTTATCTGTTTCATAAAGGAAGCAAGCGAAAACGTGAGTGTCTGGGAATCAAAATAAGTGTAAAATGAGAAGGTGCAAATAAAACCCACAGTATTTTATATGGTAGAGTGACAAAACACTTGCTGACTTGGTCTCCTCTGCTTACACACATTCGATGGCAGATGTAGGCTGATGACAATGTTGGAAGGAGTTCAGGATGCCAGTGCTAAATAGGAGATGTTCCTCAGAGACTGGAGGGCAGTGCTGTTCTGCCTGAGGTTTGCTTGCCTGTCAGGCAATAAAAAACCTGACGCTACTCAGTGGTAGCCTGACTCAAAATTACCATCATCCACTGATGTAAAATACCCACCCTGCACAGCTGTGCGTGGTGGCTTTGGGCATGGCAGCCCTCTCTAAACCTCATGTGCTCTGAGGCATAAGTGTGCTAGTTCATCCCGCAGAGCTCATTTAACCTCTTGGTTAGCATCTGATGATGCTGCCAGTATAATTCTTACCTATCCTTTTCTTGCATGTTTTGAATAGTCAATACTAACATCGTTGCTGGAAGAGGTGCTTATGAAACTGCTAAATCAGGAATAAGGGAGCTTCCCTCTAACCACGTCCCTCGCTCCTCATGTCCTTCTAAACCTCTTTCCGTAGCTATTTCTGACCCACATATGTTCCCGTTTTGAGTGTGGGATCATATCTGCTGACTTTATGTTCTAGAGTCTCAGCACTGCAAATCTCCAGCACGGGTCAGTGCAGAATTTTT